AATTACTAAATTTCATGTTATTTGGCTAGCTAAACTAATGAGTAAATTAGAAGAGATAAAAATTAAAAGAAATAAAATAAATAGCTAATCAGGTAGAATTCAATATAATGAAGGGCTAGGATTGGGTTTTCACCACAACCTCGATGCTCAATGATGAATTATTTCAGCTCTCGGTGTTGGTTTAAACTAGAAAGCGTGAATTAGCCTAAATTAATCTAAAGCCTCTTTCAAGGTCTAAAGATCGTGCCTAAAAAATCTTAATTAACCTACTTTCGTGGAATCAAGATTAAATTAAACTCATTAAGCTTTATGCTAATCCAAATCAAATCCCTAAGGAATCTAGCCTACTTTCGTGGTTCAAAAGCCCTGCTTAAGTTCTAAAGGTCCGGTATTAATCTTCACCTTTTTGTTCTTCAATTAATTATCTATGATTGCTAATACGGTGATCAAAAGAATCAACAAAATTAAAACACTAAAAATCAAGTTTAAAGATTTAAACCTTCACCAAGAACATATATTAATTCATCATCAATCACCAAAAAGTTAGGTTCTTTCCTTCACCAAGAACATATATTAATTCATCATCAATCACCAAAAAGTTAGGTTCTTTCCCAATCCTAGACAAGAAATCTACTCACACATGATCATCATCAATCACCAAAAAGTTAGGTTCTTTCCCAATCCTAGACAAGAAATCTACTCACACATGATTGGGATAAGAGAATACATCAAGTAATTATGCAAATCAATCATAAAAAGAAATAAATCAAAGAGAGGAAAGAATTACCCGTCTTTCAATTAAAATCTTCAAAATCAAAACTTACAATCCAATCTTGTACAAGAAATTAGTGTCTTCCTTCAATACTTGAACTCTAAAATAGTTGCTAATTGACGACTAAGAGAACATAACAAAAGAGAACATAACAAAAGGTATCTAAAACCTAAACCACAATATCTATTTATATGTCCACAAAAAATCTAGAAAAAGATAAGGCCCGTACCATGGGTGTGGTGTGCACCACATCAGGGTGTGGTGGAATCTGTTTTGTTGATTTTGTGCTTGTCTGTATAGTCTTTGATATTTTTGTTATAACTTTTGCTTTCGACCTCGGAATAAAGAGATTAATGTTGCATTGGAAAGATATTGAAGAGATCTACAACTTTTATCTTTTGAGGTTTTTCGGATTCAAAATGAATCAGGGTCGAAATTCTAGTTTTTCATATTCATGCATCCATTTTCTTCTCAAACCATGCATTCGAAATCATGTTGTTGCTTCAAACTCTTGTTCAACTTCCAACAATCATTGAATCTTTCAATCTTGAGCCAATACCTACATATAAGAACACAAACCACCGCAGTATCCTCGATCTAAACACGAAATATGCATTAAACACTCGTAAATCATGCTTGAAACACACTAGGATAATGCATATTTTACGTGTTTATCACCCTTAAAATGTGACATTTTGTGCTTCAGCCCCTTTTTAGTAATTATTACATACAAACTAAGCTAAAATCCCCAAAATATCCTTATCCTCTCTCCTCAATCCCTCAAACCCAGCGCTCTTTTATTGTAGGCTGTTTAAAAATTACTATAGATAGCTTATAGATAGATGATCCTCATCAAACACCGGTGATGAAAGTTATAATTTGATGGCTTCTAGAAGGTTATAATTTGAAAACTTTTATGTAGATCGATGAATGTTACAATCTGACAACGTTCAAAATAACCAATGAAAGCTCTAATTCAACAACATTCACAATCAACATCAGGAGTTACAATCTGATGACTCTTATATTTTTAAGGAGCTAAGACGAAGGTTACAAGATGATGATCTTTGCAACGCTCTAGCAAAAGAGACTACAAATTGACAATCACTTCAAATCAAAACATAGATATCTCTCAAACCGTAAGGAATTTGGCGAAACGAACGTGAGAAAACCCAACCCTTTGGGTTGGTTTGGTCAGCTCTATCTCGTCGAGATAGTCAATTTTCATATATAATTCGTCCAATTCCAACTTACGGTTTGAAAGTTATGACATGTTCTTCGCAGTAAGTTATGTTCTGAAGTCCGTCTGCAAGACTGGACTTCGCCTGAATATTGGACTTCGCTTGAATATTAGACTTCGCCTAAAGCTCACCAAGCTCGCCAGAGGCTCGCCTTTGCATTCCAGAGTCAAAATGACGCAACCACTGCGTAATCTAGCTACAAACGCAGCTCAAACCCAGCCGCAAACGCAGCTCAAACCCAGCCGCGAACGCAGCTCAAACCCGGCCGCAAACGCAACTCCTAATTGTTACCAACGCAGTTTTCAAAAAGCTGCCAACGTAGCTCATGTTTGGCCGCAAACGCAGCCTCCGAACGCTACAAATACAGCTTCCAAATTGATGCGGCATAATTATGTACCAAAATTGCAAGTGCACAATTTATCAAGTTATAGTATAAAAAATATCGATCCCACGAGGAAGGTGATTTTAAGAGATTATTAGAAATGGTTCTTATGTGTTGTGCATGATAATTAGGAATAAAGAATAAGTGTGATTGTGATGAGTGGTTGTTTTGATTTATGTGCAAGAGATAATAAATTGAATTTTAGAGAAGAAAGAATCAAAGAATAAATAAAATCATAAAGCAAGAAAGAAGAATGAATAAAATCAACAAATAAACCAAGAATGAAAAGAAAATTTAAGAAAGTTACGATGGAGGATTCAAAAGAGGCAAGAAATCTAGAATATAATCCACTAACCAATTTCAATTATAAAATACAAACTATTCTCTTTTTATCATATTTCAACTTAGATTTATTAAGCATAGATTATCAAACCATTTAAGGAAAATGTAACCTATCAAATTATCATCTAAGTTAAAATTACTATTCATGATAAGAACAACAACATGATAATAATCCTAGAATTCATAAGCATAACCTATCAAACCATTTAAGATAAGCATAGATTATCAAATTCTTCTTCTACCGATTAGTTCTCTAGTTGATTATCCTAAACATGAACATTTTAAGTGCAAGAGAATAATTCATACAATATAAAGGAAATTAGACTAGTTTCATACAATTCTAAGATTCCTACAAGAATTAAATTCACATCTTAAGAAATAAAAACAAGAAAAAGAACTAATTACAAAAATAAAAAGAAAAGAAAAATCTAAACTATGAACAAGAAATAAATCTAACTACAAAGAAAATAAAAAATTAATTACAACTAAAGTTATAATTTTTGGAAGGCCTTCTCAATTAAGAGTTGCCCTCCTCTCCAAATGGAGTTACAAAATTTTTCACACCTCTAACCCCTCACTCTCTACCCCTATTTATAGTAAACATCAGTGAATGAGAGCCATTGGATCAAAATCTTATCCAAAAACATTAATTTTTAGCCTTTGATTTATAACAAACTGCTCAGTGTATCGATACCAGCATCGATAGGGGTATCGATGCGGGCATCGATACGGGCATCGATGCGGGCATCGATGCCCCCATCGATGCTGGCATCGATGCCAGCTCTTCTCTGGTTGCTGTCCGAACTTGTTTCTTCTTGTGGGCTTTGGGCTTGGAAAATTCTTTGATTTCTTCATTTATTTGATTTGGGCTTTGGCATTTCTTGGGCTTTACTTCTCTTCTTTTTCTTAGCTTGGGCTTTTGGATAATTTGGAAATTGATTTTCCAATTGGCTTCATTTCTTCATTTAATCATGGGCTTTTTGTTGAGAGATGGGAATTTGAGATTTATTCTTCATTAACCTGCAATTAAAAGATAAAAACAATTATTAGTGGTATATTTATTCATATAAAATAGATAATGAGGGTATAAAATTGTAATAAAATATGATTATCAAATACCCCCACACCTAAACTCTTGCTAGTCCTCTAGTAAAGAAAATAAAAAGAAAATCCTAACTCACTTTCGCAGGAATCGCGGTTGTATTTAGCGCATACAACAAGCCTTTAAACCCCTAGGTTACCCTAGTGGACGAGTTGTAGTCTCGTGAGGGTTTGCAGTGAATATACCCACAAAATTCGGTCAACTTGCTAAGTTAAATAAGTGAGTAAATAACTAATTTTCTTTGATATATTTAGACATTCTAATTGAAGCTAGTTAATAATCAAGAAAACGTTTCTTATATATAACTCCAATGTAACTCTTTTAGAAATCTTTTTCATTATAGCAATACAAAACCAAGTCAAATCTTAGATATTTAATTAAAAAGTTTTGAAAAGAACATGCTAACTCTTTGTTTTAAATAACTTTCAAGTCTCTTGATCAAAAATTGTTTTTCAAAACCATATATACAAAACAACAATATATAAAAAAATTGGTTAGTGTTATTATGTATATAATAAATTTTTTTTTCACTCTTTAATTCTTGGTGATTGTTTTCTATTTTAACGGGCTTTCTAAGTGACCATTTAACGAGTTTTGGGCCAATGAATCCCAACCCAATTGGGCTTAGGTCATTAAGTATAGAGATACTCATTGAGCTTAATTACTCAATCAACTTAGGCTTTATAAGATAGAATCACCTTGAATCTAAGAGAGTTTTTTTTTCTTTTTGGTGCCTATATTTTGCACTCTTCTTTTATAAAGTTAGTTTTTTTTAATATATATATGTGTGTAAGTATATATAGTCTGAAAAAAAATATGTAAATCAAGATAACTTGAAAAAAATATTTTCAACTCTAAGTTAAGCATGCAAAAATTTTATTATTTTTAATTAAAAATCTAAGGTAAGACTTAAGTAAAGTATACTACTTGAAAAATTATTTCTTAAGAATTTTATTTGGAGTTATCATAAAAGGTGAACTTGAGTATGTCACTAACTAGGGATTAGAAAATTTAAAATCTATCAATTAGATCAATTATTACTTAACTCTATTAATTTGGCAAGTGACAATATTTTTATAGTTTTTTTATTAACAAAAGAAAAATACTAAAACAAAATACTAACTAGAAAAATACAAACAAAGGCTAACTAGCTTACACCCCCATACCCAGACTTTGCAGTGTCCTCAAGGCAAATAATATCCAAAATATCACAGTTTAATAAGTACATGCCGAAATAAATATCAAAGACTGGGTAAAATAGAAAGAACATCCCTCACTGCTCATCTCCTGATATATCGTCATCCACATCATCCGCGGCAGCTGCTGAACTCGGTCCTGCCTCATCCTCTCCTGGGAAATCATCTGGCTGAAATGGTGTGATATAACTATGAAGCTCAGGTGGAGGTACATCTGTATCTCCATGTTCTCTCTGCCATCCTCTCGCCAAATATGCTAGGGTATTTGTGGAAAAGCTCATCTGACCATGTATGTCGTGTATATGCCGCTGCATTCTGTGCATCTGACTCTGCATCCTCTCCATGCGAATCTGCATCCTGTCCATGCGACTCCGCATCGTATCCATCTCCTCTCGAGTGGGGTCATGTGTAGCTGGCTGGTGCTGAGGAGGCTCTCTACCTGAAGGACCGGACTGATCTCGTCCTGAAATGCTCCTCCTCACAGTCTGATCATTTAGTAACCCCTTCCTGCTTCTAACCTATCCTTTGCGAACACTGGAACGTGAAATCTATGGCAGAGTCTAGTGATAAAATAGGGGTAAATGAGCTCAGTACGTGATGCAGACTGTGTCCTGACCCAATCTAACACATTCTCCACTGATGAGCGCATCCATACAAATATAATCCTCGCTATATCAAATCGCTGACCAGTGGCTATCCAAAAGAGAAGGAGAATATCGTGTGGGGTAATGACGGAGTATGCAGTGGTGGGTTTCAAATCAAAGTTCAGGAAAAGATTAAGTAATCTATATTCTGGTTTGAGATTTCCTGAACCGAAACTAGATGTAAAGACCCTCCCACACAAGGTTGCAGACATGTTGTTGTATTCTGGTGTACCAGGCTGTAAAGTGGAGGCTAAATGGAAGTAATCTGGTACATCAGTGGGTGGCTCTGCAAGGTCAAGGGTAGCACGAATAGTGGAAAGATCGAAAATAACCCTAACACCCCTCACGATAGAAAAAGCTGAATATTCTCTATCTGGATCAATCTCCCATCCAGAATAGAACTCATGCACTAATGAAATGTTTGCTTTTTCTAAGGGTTTAGTCATCATGCTCCTAAGACCTACTGCAGTTAACATGGTGACTGTGGAATGATATGTATGCAGTGCACTCATCTGAAATCCCCTCTCAAAATGAATGTTAAGACTAACAATTCTGGCTAAAATAGTGGGCCTATCTATGTCGGTTTCAGATGGATCAGAAGATGATGAACTTGCTCGATATTTCTTTCTGGGGGGGCATCTACAGAAAAAGAAAAGAAAAGAAAAAGGAAAAAATTTAATAATAAAATTCCAAATTTTTTATTTATTTATTTTTTTTATTTATCTACAAATTGTTCAACATGAGTTAATTTCAAGTTATCAGAATTTCTTTTGACAATAAATTCCCTTAAAATTATTATTTGAGAACAAAAATGTTAAAATTTTGATAACTTGATCGGTGAAACAGACATGTTGAAATGATAATTATAAGCTAAACCTTACAATTGTTGAATAAAATATCCAGTACAAATTTCTGAATGTGAGAAGTATCCAATTAGACTTTTATTTGACCAATTACTCACATTTGCACAAAACACACTAAATTCAGATTTATTTTTGCAAAACCCCCCCTAATTTTTTTTCGGATTTGCATAAAACACCCATTTTTTTCAATTTGAAATCACGTACCCAATTGAATGTTCAAAATTATGTGTTTTTGTACAAAAACCCTAAGAATTTTCAGCTTTTCATGAAACACCCCAATATTTTTTGGTTTTGCACAAAACACCCCAAAAAAATTTTCTTTCTTTTTTTTCAGATTTTTGAAAAAGATATCATGAGTTCAAACCCACAAGAAATTTTCGAATTTGCAAAAACCCCCCTCCAATTTTTGGATTTTGAATAAACACCCCCCAATTTTCGGATTTTGAACAAAAATCCCCAATTTAGACCCTAAATTTGTTAAATTGATCATGAATCTCACAAAATATGATAATCATTCACAACTATCCATGATTCAATCACCAAATCATCCATGAATTCAAAAAAAATTTGAAATTACAAGATTAAGTTTAAGAAATATACCTTGGGTAAATGAGTGGAGGTGGAAGAAGACCAAAATTAGTGACGAAACTCTGCCTTTATTCCCTTGATCTATCATCTGTGCCTGTGGCGGGCCCGGGCGCCGGGGGTGGTCTAGCCGCGTTTGATAAGCGGGCCTGAGGCAGAAATTCGGGCTTTGGCGAGATGCCAAAGAAGCCCCACGCGACGCAAGAAGAGCAGGAAAAGATGGTTGGCCCGGATGCGCGTTTTAATGCCTGCAGATATTACGGGGATCGATGCCGGCATCATTGCCCATTAAGCCATGGTGTATTGCCCGCCGCCCGCCGGCCCAACACAATTTCTTTTTGTTTTTTTGTTTCTTTTGTCGGCCTTGCTATATAATATCATATATACTAGTACCTGATATATATATATATATACTCATATATATAATTATTATATACTATATATTCCTGTTTTGCGCTTTTTTGCTTTTGCTTGTGCGGCCATGAGAATAATGCGTCCTAAAAAATATTTGATTCTTGTTAACACACACACACAACACACTATATATTATATAAATTACGTATTACTGACTTAGTATACCTATATTATATTATATTATATATTATATGATATATTATATAGTATATATATACCTATATTTTCATGTTACTTATTCAACGTAATTTTTTTTAAACAAAAATGCAGCGACATATAATATAATTATATATATATATATATATAATTTAGTTATATATATACTAATATATATTATTATAGAGCAAGAACTGCCTATCAACTTTAAGTAGGATAGTCGTTCCGAATACGCTGCCACCAAACTTATATCCAGCCATTAACATAATAATAATTCATCTAAGTTCATATGTCCTAACATAGTCGCTCTTATATATACTATCCTAATGGCTAAAAGTATCTCCACTTAAGGCGACACATATCTCGTTATATATTATGCGGTATATAGGTATATATATTATAAATACTATATATCATATTATAGTACTATACTTTGTTATTAATTTTTTCGAAGAAATATTATTATATATATATATATATATATATATTTTATATATATATATATATATATGTATTATTTTTTTAAGCCTATGTTACTTCTTCAAATTTTGTTATGTTTTTGTTTTTTTTTTGTTTGTTTTTTTTAAGAAACAAAAGAAAAAATAATTTTTTTGTTTTTTAAGAACCAAAGAAATTTTAAATTTTTGTTTTTTTTACAGATAATGAGGTTCATGAAGAACCAACACCTCTTCCTCTTCGAGCGTAGAAAATTCTAAAAATGGTTTTAGACGTTGACCATTAAGTTTGAAAATATCCCTATTTTTAGCATTTTCTATCTCGACAGCCCCATGTGAGAAAACTTGTTTTACAATAAATAGACATGTCCATCTTGATCTTAATTTTCCAGGAAAAAGATACAATTTTGAATTGTACAATAAAACTTTCTGTCCTGGAGAGAAATTTTTTCGCAAAATTGATTTGTCATGAAAAATCTTGGTTTTCTCTTTGTAAATTTTTGAGTTTATGTATGCATCATTTCTAATTTCTTCCAACTCATTTATTTGGAGCAATCTGTTCTTACCTGCCGAGTCTGAATCAAAATTCAACTGTTTTATCGTCCACATTGCTCGATGCTCTAACTCTACTAGTAAGTGACAAGCTTTTCTAAACACTAGTCTGTATGGTGACATCCCCAAATTGGCCTTGAAAGCTGTTCTATATGCCCACAGAGCATCACATAATTTTACAGACCAATCTTTTCTGTTATGATTAACTGTTCTTTCTAAGATTTGTTTGATCTGCCTGTTTGTGACCTCTACTTGTCCACTGGTTTGGGGGTGATAAGGAGTTGACAATTTGTGTGTGATTGAATATTTCCTCATCAAAGCCTCAAAAGAACGGTTACAAAAATGTGTACCGTTATCACTGATGATCGCTCGTGGTACTCCAAACCAGGCAAAAATGTTCTCTTTCAAAAACTTAACAACGACCTTGTTGTCATTAGTTTTGCAAGCTACCGTCTCAACCCATTTTGACATGTATTCAACGGCTACTAGAATGTAGACATTCCCAAAGGAATTTAGAAATGGTCCCATGAAATCGATACCCCACAGATCAAAAAGTTCAACAAATAAGATGGATTGAGCGGTTACAGGTTTTGTAAAACTCGAATGAATCCTTGAAGAGAGTGGGCCAATACAGCCCAGATTGGAAACTTTTTCAGCTGTTTTTCTTGGGCCAAAGTAGCCTCCACAGGCTTGCTCATGACAAAAGGATAGAACACTCCTAGTTTCTTCCGTAGGAACACACCTCCTAAAGGGATAGAACACTCCTAGTTTCTTCCGTAGGAACACACCTCCTAAAGATCTGATCAGGACAGTATTTGAACAGATATGGATCATCCCAGTAAAAGTATTTTACTTGGGAGAGAAAACGGGATCTATCCTGTTTGGACCAATGAGAAGGGATCTGGTTCATGACTATGTAATTCACAATGTCAGCGAACCCTGGGATAGATTGGATTTGTAGGAGTTGTTCATCAGGGAAATGCTCATTGATCGGAACGGTTGATGTTGGTGCATTTGGGAGTCGAGAGAGGTGATCTGCTATGGGGTTCTCTGTTCCCCTTCTGTCAAGAATTTGAATATCAAACTCTTGAAGAAGGAGAATCCATCTAATGAGCCGTGCTTTAGCATCCTTTTTGGTCAAAAGATACTTTAGTGCGGCATGATCAGTGAAAACTTTGGTTAAGGAACCGATGAGGTAGGACCTGAATTTTTCTAAGGCAAAGACTACAGCTAAAAACTCTTTCTCTGTGACAGAGTAGTTTTGCTGGGCATCATTCAGAGTCCTACTGGCGTAGTAGATCACATGCGGTTTTCCATCAAACCGTTGTCCTAAAACAGCACCGATTGCAGAATCAGATGCATCACACATCAGTTTGAAGGGTAAGGTCCAGTCCGGTGCATGAATGATAGAAGCTGTGGTTAGCTCCTTTTTTAGGTATTCAAAAGCTTTGAGGCAGTCGGGAGAGAAGACAAATGATGTATCATTGGCTAAGAGATTGGTCAAGGGTCTAGCAATCTTGCTGAAATCCTTAATGAAACGTCGGTAAAAACCAGCATGACCAAGAAATGATCTGACATCTTTGACAGTTTTGGGAGGAGGGAGATTGGAAATAAGATCTACCTTAGCTTTGTCCACTTCGATTCCCCTATTGGAAACTACATGTCCTAAGACAATGCCTTGTTTGACCATGAAATAACATTTCTCCCAATTGAGAGTCAGATTTTTCTCCCTACACCATTCTAGGACCAGTTTAAGATGATGCAAACATTAGGAAAATGTGTCACCAAAAATGGAAAAGTCATCCATGAAAATTTCGAGAAATCGCTCTACCAAGTCGGAAAAAATATTGATCATGCAACGTTGGAATGTGACCGGTGCATTGCACAGGCCAAAAGGCATGCGTCGGTATGCGAATGTTCCATACGGGCAAGTGAAGGTGGTTTTCTCCTGATCTTCGGGAGCGATGGAGATTTGATTGTAACCTGAATATCCATCCAGGAAATAATAGAACTCGTGTCCTGCTAAACGCTCTAACATTTGGTCAATGAAAGGAAGGGGGAAGTGATCTTTCCGAGTGGCTAAGTTGAGTTTTCTGTAGTCAATACAAACTCGCCATCCAGTTTAGATTCGAATGGGAATCAGCTCATTAGCCTCATTTTGGATCACGGTGATCCCAGATATCTTTGGAACAACTTGGACCGGACTCACCCATGAAATATCAGAAATGGGATAAATGATCCCATGATCTAGACACTTCAGAATGTCTTTCCTAACGGTTTCTTTCATCACTGGGTTTAACCTACGTTGAGGATCTCTAGTAGGTTTGGCGTCATCTATCAAATGGATTCGGTGTTGAACAATGGTTGGACTAATCCCTTTGATATCAGTCATGGTCCATCCAATGGCTTCCCTATTCTCTCTTAAAACATCTAAGAGAGATTCCTTTTGACCGGTAGTCAAATCAGAAGAAATGATAACTGGTAAAGACTCGTTCTCCCCTAAGTAGGCATACTCTAGATTTTTAGGTAGAGGTTTGAGCTCTAACTTAGGGGGTTCCTCCACAGATGGGCGAAGATGGACTCGGGGTTCTATCTCTAAAGGTTCTCGTTGCCAGCCAACAACAAAAACATGATTGACCAGCGGTTCTATCTCTAGTTCGTCATCAGAAAGCTCCTCAATCATTAAATCAGATGCATTCGTATCATACTCACACTCTCCCTCTTGTTGTTCACTTGATATTCCTTGAATGAAATTCACTTCCATGGGCTCATCAGATGGATCACTAGGCTGTCTCCCTAAGTTGAAAATATTTAGGTCAACAGTCATATTCCCAAAAGATAGTTTCATCTGATCGGTTCTATAATTTATCAAAGCATTTGAGGTAGCTAAGAACGGTCTTCCTAGAATGACGGGAATTTGACTTTTGAGATTGGAAACGGGCTGTGTTTCCAAGACAATAAAATCAACAGGGAAATGAACTCTCCAACTTTGATCAGAACATCCTCTACCTCTCCTTTGGGAATTTTTACAGATCTATCAGCTAACTGTAGAGTTCATCTTGTCGGTTTAAGTTCTCCTACACCTAGCTGTTGATAGACTGAATAAGGAAGGAGGTTGACGCTTACTCCCAAGTCTAGAAGTGCCTTATCAATGTGAGTGTTACCTATGACGCATGGAATTGTGGGACAACCAGGGTCCTTGTATTTCAACGGCATGGGTTTTGAAAAAATTTCACTGAGGTTAGCAGCTAAGAAGACTTTCTTGGGGACATTGGTGGTTCTTTTCTTAGTGCATAAGTCCTTCAAGAACTTTGCATAAGAAGGGATTTGTTCAATTGCATCTAGGAGAGAGATGTTGATCTTGACCTATTTAAACGTTTTTAGGATTTTCTCAACCTGCGGGGAGTTGTTCCTAGGTTTGAGTCTATCTGGAAAGGGGGCAACGGACCTATACCTATCTAGATTAGGCTCAATGTCAAGTTTAGCGTTTTGGTCATCAGAAGGAATTGCTTCATCGGAAGGAGTGTGTTGGATGGGAGAAGGGGTTTGATCCGATGGCATTCTAACTTGATTGTCTATTTGTTTCCCTGATCTCAGAGTGTGAATTGCATTCAATTGAGCTGGATTGTTGGAACTGGATCCAGTGTCTTTAGGGTTTGCAACAGGTTGACTTGGGAATTTTCCTTTCTCTCTTTCACTCACGGTAGTGGCTAAATGCCCAAGTTGGGTTTCTAACCGGGCTATGGCTTGTGTGTTCGAGTTGAGCACTTGGCCGGTGGTTTGCATGAATGAATTTAGAGTGGTGGATGATTGGGTCAACATGTTGGTAGTTTGTGTAGAAGCTTTGATCATAGCTTCTAAGCCCTTTTCTAAGACACTCAAACATTTGTCATGATCAGAATTTGAAGGATTTGTAGGCTGGTGAGGATGAGGATGTTGGTTTGGAAAAGGTGGGTTAGAAAAATTGTTCGGTGCATTGAACGGGACAGCATTTCCCCTCGGGAATTGTTGGTTCGACGTGGGAATGAAGTTTTGGTTTCCATGAGAATTTCCTTGGTTCCATGCAAAGTTAGGATGATTTCTCCAACCTGGATTGTAGGTTGGAGAAAATGGATCATTTCTAGGATGCTGGAATGCAGCGTTCATCTGTTCTAATGCATGGTTGTTTCCTAGAAGAGGACATTCCTCTGAAACGTGGGTAGAAGACTGACAGTTATGACATCCCGGGGCAGAAATATGATTGATTTGAGCCGGAGCTCGTTCCTTAACTTCTAAGGCTTCTAACCTCCACATAATCGTCGCCATCTTCGCTTCAGATGCAATGTTTGACTCTAGAGAAAGACCACTAGACTTAGATTAGGGAACAGATGAAACTCTGTCATCACAGTTTTCCCACTGCATTGTTTTCTCGGATAGACTCTCTAGGAATTCCCAAGCTTCATCGGTGTTTTTCCTCATAAAATCTCCTTGACACATTGATTCTAAAGATGTTTTAGAAGAATAGTCCAATCCTTCATATATGACTTGGCACAATCGCCATTTTTCTAGACCATAATGAGGACATTGGATTAAAAGATCTTTGAATCGGTCGAAATATTTCCAGAATGGCTCTCCCGGGACAATTTTGAAGTTTTGAATGCTGTTCCTAAGCTTTACCGTTTTGTGAATAGGGGAAAATTTCTTGAGAAAAACGGTGACAAATTCCTCCCAAGTTGAGATAGAATTTATCGGTAAGCTGTACAGACATTTTTAAGCTTTGTCCTTAAGGGCAAATGGAATAAATCTGAGCTTAATTGCATCTTCGGTTAATTCTCTCATTTTAATCATAATACACACTTCCTCAAATTCCGAGATAAAAATATATGCATCTTCTGTTTCATTACCTAGGAATTTAGGAAGCATGTTTATTTAATACGGTCTAAGCACGAAATTTGCTCTATTTACTTCGGGGAGTCTTATGCAAGATGGAATTGTATTTCTGGTGGGGTAACACATATCCTGAAGAACTGGTTGATTTGTCATTTCTTGGATTAGTTCAACACGGATTAAACGATGAGAATTATCCCGAACCCAAGTTTGCATACACCAAAACAAATTTTTTTTCTTTTTTTTTATTTTCTAAGGAAAGAAAGAAAATTAGCTTTTTTTTATGAAAAGATAAAGAAAAAGAAAAATCCTAACTAAAACAAATCAAAGCAATCACTTTTTAATCAACTCTAATTCTAGGGTTTAGCCTAACTCCACTAGACCAGCTCCTAACCAAAAATTCCTACAGTGAAAAGATCAAAGTTTTACCCAGGTAGTTAGCAAGGTAAGGATAGTACTAGAGGGTGATCAAAGATCAATTAAGTACCTCTTTCCTTGCGGAGCGCTTTACGCAACCCCTAAACCTTGCCTTAAACACCAACTATTTTGAGAAAACTTAAACCGGTTCACTTAAGGATTTCTTGTTCCTTATTGAGCTCGAATCCTTAGGGGCCAACGTCTAATGAGTTTTAGAAGGCTTGGATTTGTGAAGTGAGGAATTAGTGATTTGTGAGCTAAGGAAAGGGTGATGAAATCCCTTACCTTATCTTGATTGGGGTTTTACCCTTAAAAATGTTTTAAGTGTGTGCCAAATCAAGTGCTACAATCACTTTGGTGAATTCCTACACTATATGAAATGCAACCCTAGAAATTAAAAGCGACTAAAAAGGATGATAAAAAGATAAACAACAATCAAATGTGAGAAGAGGGCTCTTGTTTGAATTTATTATCTTGTTAGTTAATGTCCAAGTGAAAGGTGGATTTTATTATGGTCAACAAAAATAAAATCTTTTTTTTAAATCCTAATTGTCTCAAATTGTGAAGCTAGCTAAAGAGGGTGGAATTGAAAACTAGAAAGAGGACTTACCCGAAAGCAATTCTTCAAATTCTTAATCTTTAATCCAAGATTTTCAAGCTCCAAGCGGTTCCTTCACAAGAAAACACACAAGTTAAAGAAACAAAATAATAAAATCCTATTTTAGCACCTTCCCTGGCAACGGCGTCAAAAACTTGATGCGGCATAATTATGTACCAAAATTGCAAGTGCATAATTTATCAAGTTATAGTATAAAAAATATCGATCCCACGAGGAAGGTGATTTTAAGAGATTATTAGAAATGGTTCTTATGTGTTGTGCGTGACAATTAGGAATAAAGAATAAGTGTGATTGTGATGAGTGGTTGTTTTGATTATTTGCAAGAGATAATAAATTGAATTTTAGAGGAGAGAAGGAAGAATTAAAGAATAAATGAAATCACAAGGCAAGAAAGAAGAATAAATAAAATCAAGAAATAAACCAAGAATGAAAAGAAAATTTAAGAAAGTCAAGATGGAGGATTCAAAAGAGGTAAGAAATCTAGAATATAATCAACTAACCAAATTTCAATTACAAAATATAAACTATTCTCTTTTTATCATATTTCAACTTAGATTTATTAAGCATAGATTATCAAACCATTTAAGGAAAGTGTAACCTATCAAATTATCATCTAAGTTAAAATTACTATTCATGATAAGAACAACAACATGATAATAATCCTAGAATTCATAAACCTATCAAATCATTTAAGATAAGCATAGATTATCAAATTCTTCTTCTACCGATTAGTTCTCTAGTTGATTATCCTAAACATGAACATTTTAAGTGCAAGAGAATAATTTGCATACTATAAAGGAAATTAGACTAGCATCATACAATTCTAAGATTCTTACAAGAATTAATTTCACATCTTAAGAAATAAAAACAAGAAGAAAAAGAACTAATTACAAAATTAAAAAGAAAATAAAAATCTAAACTATGAATAAGAAATAAATCTAACTACAAAGAATAAAAATCTAAACTACAAAATATATTACAAAAATTAAATGCAAGAAAATAAATCTACTCTACAAATTAAAGTACAAAAAAAATAAAAAGACAAGAAAATGAATCTATACTACAAGCATGAATTTAAATCTAACTAATAAGCAATAATAAAGAAATTACTAAAAAAAATAAAAGAGAAAAGAAATACAAACCTTCAAATTGCTCTTCATCTCCATCATCATCATTCAACAAAGAGGAGAAAGAACAAATTTAAAGTGGAGAAAAATTATTTTTATTAATTGCAACTAAAGTTATAATTTTTAGAAGGCCTTCTCAATTAAGAGTTGCCCTCCTCTCCAAATGGAGTTACAAAATTTTTCATACCTCTAACCTCTTACTCTCTACCCCTATTTATAGTAAACATCAGTGAATGAGAGCCATTGGATCAAAATCTTATCCAAAAATATTAATTTTTAGCCTTTGATTTGTAACAAACTGCTCAGCGTATCGATACCAGCATCGATAGGGGTATCGATGTGGTCATCGATATGGGCATCGATGCCCCCATCGATGCTGGCATCGATGCCAGCTCTTCTCTGGTTGCTGTCCGAACTTGTTTCTTCTTGTGGGCTTTGGGCTTGGAAAATTCTTTGATTTCTTCATTTATTTGATTTGGGCTTTGGTATTTCTTGGGCTTTACTTCTTCTTCTTAGCTTGGGCTTTTGGATAATTTGAAAATTGATTTTCCAATTGGCTTTATTTCTTCATTTAATCAACGGGTTTTTGTTGAGAGATGGGAGTTTGAGATTTATTCTTCATTAACCTGCAATTAAACATAAAAATAGTTATTAGTGGTATATTTATTCATATAAAATAGATAATGAGGGTATAAAACTGTAATAAAATGTGATTATCACAAATGCTGCAGACATAGCTTCCAACAGCCGAAAATGCAGCTTCTGAACAGCTTCTAACAGCCACAAACGCCACTTCTAACTGCTGACAACACAGTTTTGAAAAGCTGTTAACGCAGTTTTTAAAAGCTGTCAACACAGCTTCTAAACTGCTGCCAACGCAACTTCCAAATGCTGCATTTAAACATAGAATTTATGTCAGAACGTGGATTCTGTGTTTGACTCATTCAAAGACGAGCTGAACGGTTTCAAAATTATTTTTCACGATTTGAGGGGATCACTCCCCTACTTAGGCATGAATTAAGGGGACGATTACACCCCTTAATCCCTTATAAAAGGCGAAAAACTCAACTGAGTTCAGGATCTCCAATTGATCCTCTTTCGATAGTTAAAAAAATAGATCTTTAATCGGGGGAGGGAGATTAAAAGGAAAAGAGAGATCTTTGGCAGATCGGATCTTGGCAATCTTTGGTCTTCTGGAGCTACTATTGGAGCTTTTCTTTGGCTTGAAACTGATTTCGGTTAAACTAATTAACTCTTCCATAGAGTTATACCTCGCTCAGAGTTCCCTAACTCGTTAAGAGTTTCAAACTTGCCATTCAAGTTTATCTAAGACTCCGAGTCAAGAGGCGAAGACAACGTTCCACGAGGTGAAGCGTTCGGATCGTTAACGGGATATTGTAGGCGTCAAAAATTGCTTATAGGTCCCCGAATATAGCTCGAGACAGAGAGAAGATAATGAACGCGTCACGCCCCGCTTCCCAAAATACACGGGAACCGGAACGTGAACAACTACTAATAACAGTGCAAGATGGAACTACAACTATCAAATAATTATACATGAAAACTCGCAATTTCCAATCGTCATGATCACAAATTTATTAATTCCAAAAATAATCTTTTCCAAAAAAATAGATTCCTTTAAAAGTAATCCCTTTTCCAAAAAAAATTCCTTTAAAATTTTTTAACATTATAATTATTCAAAACTAACCCATTTTCCAAAATAAATTCTTTCAACTCATTTATTATTATAATAATTCAAATTAAACCATTTTTCCAAAATAAACTCTTTTAAAAATTATTTCTCATAATAATAATTCTAATTAATCTAGAAAAACATTAATTTATCATTTAAAATCATTTAATGTCATCATCAACAGTCCCACGCAGATAATCGTAATATACAAGTTATAACTAATCATATTATATCACAAATAATTCGCAACAAATCCAGAAATTGAATTGACGGGTCAAAGGGAAGCAGGATCTTGCATATACTTAAATTACGACAAATCTAATATTATACTGAGATAATCAAACGGGATTATGGATATTGCGCCATATTAATTTATGATAAATCAAAAATATAATAAATAGACAAATCGAGAATAGGGGATCTTGCCTCGGGTTGTGTCGAACGGATCGACGCTGACGACGTGGGACTACGGATCCAAAGACGCTGCTGGGCGCTCGAGGCAACGAGATTGTCGACGGTGGTCGACGTTGACGACGAACGAGGGGAGGCGCTGAGGGTTACGGTCGTTGGCGACATGGGGATGCTGGCAGCTCGAGGGGGCTGCAGGTGGCGGGCCTTTGGCAGATCTGAAGTGGAGCAGGGCTGGGCCATCGGTGAGTGGCGACCTGGCGTTGCTCAGGGGAGAGAGAGGGAGTCGACGAATGTGCAGGCGGCTGGGTTGGGACGGCCTGTCGCGAAGCTGCAGGAGAGCGGCAGGGCGTGGCTGGTGGATTTACTCGCGGCGGCGGACGGCGCGTTCTTGATGGAGGAGGCCGATGCGTCGGTGGTGGAAGCGACTGGCGGTCCGGTGGCGCGCGCGGCGAGGTTGCAGCGGGCGGCGAACAGGGCTGGAGAGATAGTTGCTGTCGCAGGGTCTTGCGGAGGTCGTTGGCCATGGGTAGGTTCGTGGCGTAGGCGGCAGGCATTGGCGGTTGATGAGGGATGCACGTCGGCGCAGGGGAGGTACGAGGGGAGTCGGAGTGTGGTCGGTTAAGCGCAGCGACCGGTTTAGGCAGGCGAAGGGAGAAGAGAGTGGAAGACATATTGAGGGCGCGGCCATTTTGAAGAAGAGGAGAGAAAATCTTAAGATATATATATATATATATGTATTATTATATTAGGGTTAGGGTTTGGTATTTAATCAAAAATAAATAAAATAAATAATTATGGTTACTCAAAAATTAAACTAATTACAGAATAATTATCTACAGATAAAAACGTACATGTTGTACTAATAAAACAGTTGATACAAAATAGTCAAAATATACCCATATTGTATAATTTAACGAGAATAATTAATAAATAAAATATATTTACTTATTTTTAAAATCAAATAATTATGGGATAATTATATACACAGTAAAACGTACTAGTTATACTAATACGACAGATAATATGTAACAATAAAAATAATACAATAAATTATACCAAAAACACGTAATTAATAATTCCATGTATTATATGAAATAATTTGTAATAATATTAATAATAAAATATATTATTTAAAATATTACGTAATAGTACGGATAACACAACAAATTAATTTTAGAAATTTTTACCGCACAAAACAAATTTATAAATATCAAAATCATTTAAATAAATATATAATCAGATTTTTAAATCATAGAAAATTATAGGAATTCGAGAAAAATACAAATACTCTTTTAAAAATCATAATTAAATATTTTAAAATACCAAAAAATTATTTTAACTAATATCAAAATTTTATGGTCCTTACATTCTATCCCCCTTAAAACAAATTTCGTCCTCGGAATTAAAATAAGAACCCCAGGAACAGATATGGAATGATATCCATAAGCAGATGAGACAAGAAACAAGAAACAATGAAAAGTTACGAGACAAGAAATAGTGAAAGGTTCCGGAGTCAAAAATGATAAGATAGGGACGAAAGGAAATCTATCAAGAAAATAGGATAAGGGCTCAAGGATAGTCTCACGGATGAAATATGATATGTATCTAAATTATCTACTATATTCTTACTAGTGAGAACTCGGGACCGTGACCTGCATGGGCCACCAAAAAAACCTGTCACGCCCCGCTTCCCAAAATACACGGGAACCGGAACGTGAACAACTACTAATAACAGTGCAAGATGGAACTACAACTATCAAATAATTATACATAAAAACTCGCAATTTTCAATCGTCATG